GCGCACTTGAAATTGAGTTACGGTCTATGTTGTTTTTCACCGGAGTATATCAAAACATGTATTGAAATGTGTATCACGTGTTTTATCTTGTATTGAACTTTGTTTTGAAATATGTATTGAAATTTGTATCACATCCAAAAATCATATCGCCCAACTGAATCAAAACCCATATCAAAACCTGTAAAAAAGATCGTCTTTGATTTTGGAGACCTTAGGGGTGTATGATGTCATAACACCAAGGTCTGGAGACCGGCTGGCAGTCGCGGCCAAGCTGCACAGCAGAAGAAGGACAAGAAGAGGACAGGCGGACAAGAAGAGCGCAACAAGAGGACAACGCCCCGGACACAGCGTTCACCAGCAGGGCGAGAGACTGTGGCCAGCTTCTGTCTCCTAAGTGAGAACCGCAACAGTAAACTGGTTGAATATTGCTCGCAAATGACCGCGCCCAAACCACCATATCCACGCACATGCGCTACCCACATCCGAAGCCTGACTTGTAGACGTTGAGGTCACCGTAGTTGCAGTCTGGGCTCACGGTAACAAGCATGAAACTCTGTTTGTTGGTGAACACCGAACTAAACTCTGAACTTGTCCATGACAACATAGCGCAGTGAGCACAAAGGAAAGTGAGACCACATGATTAGCCCCAACGCGCCTGCGACTTGGACGTCGAAGTCCAAGTCCAACTGACTGTGGTTGTCGAGCTAGTCTGGCGCAGGCACAGCCGCTATGAGATGCTATCTTAGTCTGTGTCCACAGCATGCACATGCACTTACACAACCTATCGAAACGGCGGAGTTTGTTCTATCCTTGGACATCAAAGCGCCCATTTGCGCTGGTATTCGCAGCGCTTTGGAAATCAGAAGTTGAATCAACTTCTGCACGTACTTACAGCAGTTTGGCGCGATGTCCTGAGTCCACGGTTCGCTGGTATTTACAGCGGTTTGGGCTGGTGTTCAACTGTCATTCGTATGTTTCTCCTCAAGAACAAGGCATCATGAATCCATGTTGTTTCATGCCTCCGTCTTTGCCATTTGCCACACTTTGGATTGAGTCTCCTTCGTATTCTTTGCTGTTTGCAACACTTGGGTAATCTAACCTGCATATATCTTGCTATTCGCAGTACTTTGTACGGAATGTCCTGGACAGCTTAAAGATTTGCATTCTGTAGAGTTCCTTCAGGTACTTCTTAAGCGCTTACCCACTGCATTTTACAAGCAAAAACCAAAGATGGAAACGCTAAAGTCTTGGGCGCGTCCCTGTTTGTTGACTTTGCTTGCAAGTCTATCTAGCCGGCTGCTTATTGTAGGTAAAGTTTGAGATGTGCAGCGGGCAAGAACATGTGTGAAATTTTTGCGTTTATAAGTAGCGCAGGCAGAAGCGTAAAGAAGAGAAACGATAGAGGATGAGTGAAAGTGTGAATGTAAGCTGAGGTAGTGTGAGTTGAATAAAATGATGTGAGTTCCCGTGAGTGCGTCGAGTTGAGTGAGTTGGTGTGAGACTGTTGGTGTGAGTAAGTGGGAGTGAGTAAGTTGGTGCGAAAATGGTGTGTGCAAGTTGGTGTGCGTGTACATGTGTATATATATGTAATACATATACTCATATATACATTGGTGTAATACATATACTCATATATACATTGGTGTGAGTGAAATGTGGTGTGTGTAAGTTGTTGCGCTTTAACAGCCCAGACCCTAGCTCATCCCCTTAACTGCTGGGGTGAGGTAGTGGCCCACCTGTCTGCTTAGTGTTGGGTCCGACGCATGAGGGACACGTCATAGCCACGAGACCATACCTTCCCTCGAGTAAGTGGAGTGTGTAATTTCGAGTAAGTTATGTTGGTCCTCTGAGTTGAGTGAGTTGAGTTGAGCACGTTGCTGCCCGGAAGCGGAGAAGGAGGACGGCGGGAGGAGAAGAGGGAACCCCACACTAGCATGTGGGGAACAATGCAAGCAATGTGACATAGATTGGACGCAACAATGTGACAACAAGCCATCAATCATTCCGCTCACCAGCTACACGTCGGGTTTACACACGCATGCGTCCCTGCTTCCCATTCCCCAGTGGCACGGAGCCAAACGCAATTTCCACCGAGGCCGCGCCAAACCCCATGGCGCGGGCCAAATCACAGACGGAATGTTGCCGCACTGCACGCCAAACACTAGATTCAACACAGGTATCAAAGTAGACCCTTCTGATCTCATCATGCATCAAATCAGGCGCATGCCTGCATGTACTTCCTTGTGCAAGGAGAGCTCACTGTTCACTTGCGAGGGTACTTTTCTTCAAGGAAAGAGACCCTGTCGAGGTCCCCCCCACTTGGAGGTTGTGTCTCCTTGCTCTTGGTAGTCTAAGAGATCTCGCCTCTCTTGGTGTTCAACACATCCAGATCTTTTGCCCAATTCGCCAGAACGAGGGGTGCAAACGGTGGCCCCTTTGACTCATCTGGATGGTTCGATCTTGAAACCCTTGCACCGGAGGTTCCGAGACCAAGGCCAGCAAGCAGGCTACTGACCAATCGCTGCAAAGCAATCGCCTTCTTGACCAAGTGGAGATTGAGGAGGAAGGGCATCTGAGATACCTGGTAGCTCTCTTGCTGGGCTCCGGCGCAGCGCGGCTCTTGGGCTCTGGCGCAGCGGCGGCAGTAGAACTGGGCAAGTTCTAGATAGTTCTAGCTCTGTCGCCGGGCGTTGACATCTGTTCTACAAGGACATCAAGCTCACCTGCGCATTCGTGACCCGCTTGGCGGCAGCCTTTCTTTGTGGCCGCAGCGGCTGCAGCTGGATGATATTCGCGCAGAAGTGACAGAACATTGTCTCCCACCTCCAAACAAAATGATTGAGCCCAAGAGGAACGAAGCCATCCACTTCTCTCGAACGGTCGTTGACCTCGCTCCTGCCCCAGCATCGCATCTGCGGGATCACGCTCACGATCGGCTGCATATAGCGTTTTACATAGCCGCATACCACCTGCCCTAGCCATCAACACCAAGCACTGTCAAAGTAGGGTCCTCCCAGGCCTCTCACTGTCTCACTGCCTGCTTTTGCATCGGTACTTGCGAGGAATGCGGATGTCCGTCCCTGCACAAAGGGCCCTCCGACAGGAAGCACTGCACAATGTTGTTCTGGCCTGTCTGAGCAAGCTTCTGAAGATCAATCACTCAAGGCATTTGAACAGGATGAGGTAGTCCAGGGGCGCTGAGAAGCAACTACATGGTGCTCGACGCTCCGGGCGATAGAGGTTCCTGAGATAAAACAACCTTAGCCCAGTAGCCCGCTTTGAATGTCCTGTCAATGCGAAAGGCTGCAGGAATCTTGCAAGAAGCCAACTTCCGGGTCAAATCCAAGACTTGCACCGGGGCAGGAGGAGGACTGGCGACTAACACTGGATGCGGAAGAGCATCCTCAACAAGCTCCCAATCCTCGGTCGGACAGCTGCTTCAAAGGTAGGCCCTGACGGGGCTGCAGTGATAGTGATGGGGCAGCTGCACTGATGGAGCAGCTGAGTCGACCCTTCCAAGCGATCAATGTCCTCCATGGCAATCGGCAACTCATTCAAGAAGGCCGGTGGGCGCCTTCTAGCAGAGGGAGCAACCAACTCGTCTGAGGCCGAGTGCCAAGAGGACGGGGATGGAGCCCGAAGGGAGGTAGTACGGTGAAGGCTGGCACGAAGCCAAGAAGTAAGAGCGGCTCAAAAGCAGAAGGACATGCCGAGAAGCCGAAGCAAGCCCTAGAAGAACCAGGGCAAAACCGATCCGCTGCAGTGGAAGGGACAGGAGAATCAACTGACCAATCAAGCTCAGCCCCTCAATTACCTTTCCGATCCGTCGCTTGAGAACAAAACAGGTTGGACACATCAACTTAAGGCGCAATGAAAAATTGCATAGACATGTATTAATGTGTTTTCCTTCAATGCCCGGTGTTAAGGGTCATGCAGTGGATACGAGGCTCTTGCTCTAAGGAAAAACAAAGTTAAGATAAAATATCATAATCAGTTCATTTTATGTATGTATATATATATGTGTGTGTGTGTGTGTCTAGCTTTGAAAAGGGCACAGGTTAAATAGGGAAAGAGTGCCACCAAAGTTGCAGGTCAACCGCCACTTGCAAAGTTCATGCCAACAAAGTGACTTGATGAGTCTGCCTCGGACTTCGAGGTGGATGTCTCACTGGCTGTGGTTGATGAGCTCGTCTGCCAAAGCCATACAGCAAGCAGCAACGTGCGACTTCTCCAAGAATGCGAATCGTCTGGGATTGTAGAAACAAATAGACTTATATGCACCTCAGACCTCACAATGATATGGCTCCATTGATTTCTGACATACCCTGCTACAACTGGGGAAGGCGTGCACATTCAATGGTAAAAGAAGACGAACATGCGTCTGACTGGTAATGCCTTTAACCCAGCTTCAAACGGACTGAATGGCTGGACAAAGAGTCTGGTCCAAAGCGCTGAAGCTGCCTTCGTTGATGTGATTGTCGTAGTCGTCTGCACACATCAGCAGTGGATAACGACAAGTAGAAAACAGAACATACTTATGTGCAAATGAAGGTTATACAGCCAAGGTTGATCCGCTTATTTTTCACATTTCAGTTGTTAAATCAATCACTGCCACTTTCATTAGACTTCCCTGTCCGAAACAATGCATTTTGTCAACATTGCTAAAATCCTTGGAGATCTTTACAAGCAGAAAACATGTTCCAGCCAAACCTACATGGAAAACTCGCAGAACCAATTAACCACCTTCAAGCAAAGGCAACCGGTATGGTTTTTCGCTTTGTAGCATATCATCAATGAACGTTGGGGCTCCGGCCAAAGTCGCACTTGTGGACGTGTTGCTCAGTGTAGTGGAGGTCTGCACGACAGCAGAAGCATGCACGTTCGCAAAAAAAAATGACAGCTAGCGTTCGCTAACAAACGCATGACTTGTCCTCAGTCGCTGCTGATGGGCGCCTGTGACGTCGAAGTTGACGTCATACTTGTCGTGGCTGTAAGACTGGTCTGCACGCGGCGGTGTTTTGAACACGGTTGGCGGTGGGAACCGCAGATCAGTACATCACAGACCGAAAGATCTACGAGGCAAATCTGTGAGAAGAAGCCACAGATGTGAAGAATTTTGAGGCACTGAAACAAAAAGCCGCATCCGAAGATCAGTCACGCAAAGAAGGCAAAGAACAACAACATATTGAATGGTAGAGCAAAGGTTCTTATGTGTATATATATATATATGTGTGTGTGTTACACCATAACAGTATAGAATGCACACACATGACCGTCCTGCCTCGCAAGTTGATCCACAATTGCGGTAGACGTATAAGTCATTGAGATGTGTCCCTGGGTATCGAATGCCAATGAAAACCAGGATCTCTCACACAACTGTACATGCTTTGCAGGCTGAGGTCAGCACCATTCTGCAAAGCCCCCCCAAAGATATAGAGTTCATTTGTTTCATTGTTCGTCACAATGGCGGCCTCTCTCCGAACAGAAGGAAAACCCCACCAGATCACCTCCTGCCAAGTGTTGTCCTGGCAAAAACTGGCCAGCCGCGACACGCGAGTGGCGAAGTAAAGATTCACATAGAATGCGATGCCGATGGTGCGAGGGTGCGATATCAAAAAATCAAGCAGGCGCGGGAATCTGCCTTTCACCTTGTCCATGGAAAAACCCTTGGGAAAGGTATGCAACATGCTGGCATCTCATCACGTACATGGATGCGCTTCAAGTTTGCTTGGCACCTCACCCCCTCTCCAGAGGTCTGTGAATTTCCGAGCTGATTCTTTGCATGATGTCCTTCCGTGGAGCACTGAGCATGTTCAAAATGTTGGAGTTGTGTGAAGCCGCTAGCAGAGGCGCGAGCAGTGCGAGCCCGGACCTGTTGCGCTTTGACCATGTTCCTGATGGGAAGCGCTTTTTGGTGTTGGGTTGTAACTTGTGCTCAAAAGATAACATTCCTCATAGAGACACGGTGATGTGACACTCACTTTCAAGATTCAAGTGCCCCAATAATCGCCCGGTCCGGTACAAGTTCACGTGAGCTCTAAGAATGCTACTGGGTTGAGGCCAATGAATCGACACGAGGATGACAGAGAAACAGCAGCTATAGCTGGGACAGCCCAAGTTTTTGATGGAAAGCAATCCCGGTTCTCCTACGAGGATGCAACATCACAAGGCCAGAGAAAAGAGAAGAGAGCATGAGCATTGAGAAATGGGCTACTGTAGAAAGAGAAGCAGCAGTATACAAGAGACTACTAGGCCAAAAGTTATTGACAACAAATTATCCACCAGGTGCAAGTGCGCCGCACTTGGAAACAGTCTTGAGACCGTACGTTGTGAAATAAGCTACTGGTATGTTTTTCATGCAGTTGACTGCACTTCAACACATTTAATCATATGTTTGCAGATATGAAGTGGAGGATCAGACTACGATCCTATCAGACTACGGCAAACCAAGCAGTTGGATGGACATCTTGGATCCAACGACAAACCAAGCAGAACAGCTTGCCAGTCCAGGAGTCCCTCTTGCTCTTGAAGGTTTCAATTGAAGATTGCACAAGTCTCTAACCAGTTGAGCTTATATAGGGCATCCAGCAAACTTCCTGCTCCATGAGAATCATGCTGCGTTGCTGATGGTCACTGTGGCTGGCCATTAGCAGGACTGGAGAACCACTTTGACTTCTTTCATAACTCAAGACCCAGAAGACTTATGCAACAGTAGACAGTGAATGAACTCGGAACCGTGTTCATCGAGAGGTTCTGCACGACAAAAACTAGCTATTGCGGACATCCTTTGTCAAGCTCAAAGGGTCTGCAGAGTACCATGGTACTGTACATGTGTATGAAACAAGAAAGCAAAGTGGCTCATGTTTTGCACTCCTCCTTGACATTTAGACCTAAATATTGAACTCTTTATGTCACTCAGAATCTCAATGCTGACCTGTCCAGACAGGGATAATGTACGTCAAGTTGAAGCTTGATTTCATAATCTGGTTGTTCACACCCCTCTTTGTCTGTTCAAACAATTTCTTCTTGGCGGTGATGTGGAACGCAACCAACGGACATGGACGATGAACCCTCCCACATCGCAGTCCACCACCCGCCCCCATCATCGCACCCATCGCACGGGAGTTGTCGTGGCACCCATTGTCACACCCATCGTCGTCATTCATCACATTCTTCATAAAGGAAACCTATTAGGAACAAGAAGCTACTAGGAACAAGTGCATCGCTTCTAGTAACAAGTGCCTTACTAGTAGTAACAATAAGCTATTAGTAACAAGAAGGAAACCCTCCCTTCTTGCTTTCTTTTCACTAACCTCACCCTGGGATACCATGGGTCCATTTATCCTAACACAGAACTTTCTTGTCGAGACTTTGGAACTATTTGCTTGATTGCAATATGGACAGGATACTCAGCTGATAATTGTAGGCAAGACATGTCGGTCACATGTTTAAAACACATAAGCTGCAACATGTGTCCCTTGAAGAAAAAAAATACCTGCAATTTTACCGAGCGCGTCCATTGCATATGCTCGAGAGGCAGGGGCGCATTAGTTGTCACTTGACGCTAGTGAGCTCCACTGGATATTTAAACATCGGACACCACAAGGCCAAAATTCTGGCCTGGCTTGCACTCCAAGGTTCGTTTCTAAACGAAACACAATGCAATATCCAAGTCAAAAAACAAACACGCGAATATATAGTTGAAGTATGTTGAAGTCAATTGTCTTTCTAATCGTGTCGACAGCGGAAAATTCCAACTTGCATTGGCAGATCTCCAGGTTGGTCACCAAACCTTTTGGCGCTCCTGACCAAACGGAGCTCCGTTCCTTTATGGGGCACCCATGCACGCCATGCGTTCGGCAGACGTGGACCGACCGGACCGACCGAACGGACCGACCGTGGACGTGGACCGTTCACCAGTATGGTCACTGGCGAGCACACTCCCCATAGGTTGCAAGCCATTCACTTTGGCAGTTCATATGTGTGGTTCTACCCTCATGCGTACATTGAGTGTATTTACATGCACAAGGCAAAAAGGAGAGACTGGAAACTTGAAGCATGGACATCAAGTCTCAATTTGAAACAGCAACACCCTGAAATACCGAGGCCTGGCGGCTATAGAACCAGAAGTCATTGAGGTGGGAATCTCGGCTGTCACCCGCGTCAGATGATTCGAGCGACCAAATCAGCTGAGGTCACCACAGGTGGACCAATCCTGGCCCCCAAAGACATAGAGCCCATCGTCGCTCTCACTCCAGCCAGCGGTGTACCCATATCGGCGCATAGGGCCCGAATTGTCCGTCAATGTGGACCATGCATTCGCCTCTCAAGAACCAAAAAATGCACCCCACATCAGGGCCACGTCTGGTGCACAACATGGTGATCCACTCCTCTGGGGCAGCAGAGCAAATCATGTCATCTTTTAGGCCCTCAAATGAGTTTTTGCGCTGCTTCAGACCAGCCGGACTAAACTCAGACCAGCCAGACTAAGATACAGTCTCACGTGCCAAAGCTTGGAAACAACCATTCTTCAACAAGCGTCAATGTTTCTTGGGTCCAGGATTGCTGCCACAAACACAAATTCAAATCCAGCTATAATAGAGGCAAAGTACTGTAGCTGTAGCTTTCATGAAAGGAACATTGCGACAGCACGGCCTTTCCAGGCAGTGTGTTTTTGGAGAGGACGTCGCTTTGGAATGTCAGGCTGCGTGTGACATCAACCCGCTGGTGACCCGCTGGTGTGGTCGTGCCACAGGCGTGCCACAGTCGTGTTCATGCGTTGTTGTTTGGGAACATTCTTTTACAGTCGGCCTCGCCTGGCGGTCGTAGAAATACAAGGTGACGGTGCCTCGGTAGACTTCGACGTGTCATCCGGGTGCACATCCCTCCCCCTTACGTTGAAAACCAAAACCAACGGCCGCCACGCTGCTGGAACCAAATCCTCCCAAAAGGTAGAAGCCATCCACCGCATCACTCGACATTGCCACGTGCTCTTTATGCCTGTAAGGTCTTGGAGGCTGCGATCCGCCCGGCGAAAGCTTCTCCCATTGGTTGGCCTGCAAGGAGAGCAAGTGGCACACTACTACTGGTTCTTTGCTCGCGTGCTCACCCTTAAGTCAAAAGGAAAGTGTGCTTGACCTCAGCCTGCAACACAGATTGATCACTCAAAAACATACACCTGCAACACTCACACACACACACACGTTGCAGTTGAATGTTGCTGACGAGATCCGGAAAATTGCAATCACGAAAATGCGCAGGCCAACATACACTCGACCCAGACCAGTAAGGAACCTGATGTTTGGGCGTGCCAAATTGCACAGCCCAATGCGTTATTGCGAACTTTGCTCGAACTCGAAAAGGTTCTTCGGTCAAATTGATTTGCGCATGGCATGTTCATGATCACGTCTTGACATGCATGCATCTGCACCTCATGGCTCACTTTTCACACTCCTCCTTCAGGCCTGGACCTAAGTTTCGTGATCCTGGCCTGACCTGTTTGAAGTTGACCATTTACAAAGCTGATCGCATGTTCATGCACCCTGCAGCGGCAAGGTGCAGCGGCGCCAGCACCCAAGCTCTCTGCAGCGGCACCCCCCAGCATCCAAGCTCCAAAGCGCACATGGCCACAAACACGTCTATCCAATGCGCATACGGCCAAGGGCATCTCGCAGAAACACCCTGCAGCAGCACCCTGCAGCGGCACCAGCGCCCAAGCTCCAAAGCCCACAGCCACACATCTGGCAGTGGCACCCTGAGTGGCGCCAACACCCAAGCTCACGAGCTCTCACAGGCGCCAGCACAGACCCCAGATAGTAAAAGATATTTGTGGGGATGACACCAGCACCGACTCTCCAATTCACGAACAGCCATATTTGCACCTCAAGGTCCACAATGCGCTGCCGCGCCTGCCTCGACACAGCGCCGTGCCTGCCACGAAGTCTGCCTTCAAGGCCCACAAAGGGGTGCTGCACGAAGTCTGTACTTCAAGGTCCTTTCAACATGCTAAGCAGAGCCCGCTGAAACCACCACCATGTCCAAAGTGCTGAGCCTGCCCCAAAAACTGCTCATCGATGAAAAGCCACTCCGATTTCCTGCGCCTGCCACGAAGTGTCGACTTTGGACCACCAAAGCATGAGGTTTCCCTTGCCCGCCACGACAAGTGACCACCAAGTCCGAAAATGCGGACGGCACCACAACCAGAGCGCGGTCGAGAAGCGCACCCGCTTGTGTCCAGCAGATTCTGCGAGTCGGCGCAGCGGAAATGCACTTCGAAGACCTCAAGGTGAATGAATGTCACTGTAGATAGCAGCGAATTAGCCGGACTCCGATCAGACACCCCGCTTTAACACCTACGGTAAGAAACCCCTACTCTAGCCGCTTCTAGACACCCCGAGACCCCTTGTTTAAAAAATACACCAGCATAGACCCCAGATTGCAAAAGGCAAAAGACAATCGTCTCTCGTGTTTCAGGGCACTGGATTGGATTGCGTTGTTTTTATGGAGTTACGTTGCCTACTTGACTTGAACATCATATCTGCATAACCAGCAGGTCACAGCTCGAAACACATCACCAATTCTTCACAGGGGCAAAAAGGTTGCAGAAAAGTGGAGTGCTTGTGTGCAAACCGTTGAATGAACACGCAAAAGACTTTCATGCTCTCGTGGAGCCTTCAATGCATAACCCCCCTAAAAATATAATGCGCATGCCAGACACAAACACTACCAGTTCTCAATGTTTTTGAAAACAAAACGCACACACACACACAACCCCAGCCCCCTCAGCAGCTCCTGTCGGTCATAGAAATAGAGAACGTTTGATGTTCCTCGGGCGAAAGCCAGTGGAAACAAATGTCATTGTCACTGTACTTCTTCGCCCTAAACCCCAGCTCTGAGGTCCTGGCCGCTGTAATTGGTGCCTCCAAAGGCATAGAAGCCATCCGCCACCGTGTTCCATGCAGCTGTGTGATGATACAACCCTGTCACCGTGCCCGTCCAGGAGATGGCCTCCCAGTGATTGGCCTCCCACGAAACTCTCGCGTCTCGACGGAGCGGGGTTCCGGGTGGCGCGGGTTCCGCCGGTCAGTACAAGGCGAGTTCTGTGTTCATCCCACTCAGACTCTTGGAGAGCCAATCCAAGTGAGTGGTTTATATAGGGATTGGCATGCCTTGACCATCAACAGTGGTCAATGAGCCTTTCGAGTTCTGAGGCGCACGCGTAGGGTGTTCTTCAACCTCAACCTACACACACAATGACTTTAATGGCCTGCATTCGAATCAACGGTATTTGTCTGCATTCGTTCGCTTCTGTACTTCAGTTTACGTCGCTTTGACTTGGATTCGTCCGTCGGCCCGAATCCAAGTGGAGTTGGTGCCACATCGAAAAAGCGTTCCATCGAACGCCGTTCCAACGCTTGCAGGTCCAAACATCCAACGCCGTTCCAACGCGGCGGTCGAAAGGACGCGCAGGGGGGCGTTTGGTCGAAAGCCATGTGTTCTGCCGCGGTTTTTCCGCGCGATTGCAGTGGCTAGGTTTCTTCCAAAAGGGATCGGTCCCTCCATTTGTCCATTTCGAGCTACGTGTTGATATTGATACTGTGACAACAAGACGGTCTTAGAGAGATTGGATGCATCCCCACGAGCTGCAGACAGTGTATATAGACGTCGAGAGATATAAGTGCTCAATCTCCCATTACGTATGCAACACACTCACCCACGCTGATGCAAAGAAAACAAAAGTCTGGAGTCTCAGACACCATGACATTAGACTGGGATATGACCGGAGAGAAATGCCTTCCTCCAGAGTGGCGTCACCGCCCCGAAAAGACAAAAAGAAGAAAACAGGGTCAGCTCCGGCCTCTCGGTGGTAGAAATACAAGTCATTCTTGATGCCTCCTTCGCCAGCCACAATTGTTCGAAACTGGGAGCTCTGACCTCTTGAGCCTCTTTACCCTGGCTGAGGCCGAGTCCTTGAAAGCCGCCAAACAGATAAAAGCCATCTGCAGCATCGCACCAGACAGCTGCGCTTCCATAGCGGCGACTTGGTGCAGTCCCAGTGGGGGAGAGCCATTCCCACAGGTTGGCCTGCGGAAACGGCAACCAGAAATGCTGGCCCACTCCGAAACAGTTGATGTCCACCTTTTCCGGGTAAGAATTTGTAAACAACAAAAATGGTCTGCAGTAAGTATCTATGCAGTCTCTTACTATGCAGCTTGCTCATGTGCTTTTGCTTAAAATATGGACTTTGCTCAAATAGCTCAAATTCGCAAAGCGTTCCAATATCTCTTCAAACCAGGAGCCTGTGGCACATGTGGCAGCAAACGATCTTTGGTTGAGTGTGGCCCAAAAATTCAGAGCAACAAGGAGGCAACGATGGAACCAAGCATTTCTGCAACACAACAGGGAAAATTTGGAGGGGTGTTGATTGAAGGGTTGATCGAAGGGTTTGAGCGTTCGACAAAGAACAGCGTTCGACCAAGGTGGTCCGCTCCAATAGGTGCGTGAAAGAGGATGGTTCGCAGAAATACCTTGTCTTGCTTTGAAAGAGGATGGTTCGCATCTTTGAAACCACCCCTGTATCATCATCCAACACGGAAAACAGGCATGTCTACATGGCTGCATAGATTTGACAGCCTATGCTGTATGCCTATGCTTTATCACCCCTTCCTCTTGGAGTCCTAAAGCCAGGCCGTGCCTGGCGGTTGTAGAAATACAGGCGATAGCTCGTCGAAACTTCACCTCCGCATAGGACCGAATCACTGAAAATTCAGAGAAGAAGTTGGGTGGCACATTGTTTATGGGTGGCATAGTCTAGTCTTTTATGTCCCCATCTCCTTGCATCTTCCATGCACGCAAAACTAAGTCTGCTTTCTGCAGCCTCCAGTCCCATCAATGACGTAGAAACCATCGTCCATGGTGCTCCAGAGCGCTTTGGCATCACGCTGCGTTGGCATTGTGCCACCCGGTGAGAGGAGCTCCCACTGCCTCACCTCGCTGACCCCACTGCTTGGAGGGGGTGCCCAAAAAGAAGTGTGAAGTGAGTCGAAGTACGCAGCGTAAGGAAAACACGGAAAGAAGGGCACAAGGCAAGATGGGCGCCGGAACCGGTCCCGGCACATGTGACCATGCCATGTCCCACATCAGATTTTCTCTAGGACCAGGAATTTCAGCTGGGCTTTTGCCGTACATCAGAGTTGATTGTCACCATCCTCGGAATCCACTAGGAATTGTCAGCGTTCAGACCCCGTAGGCCCCTTTCGCCTCTCAGGTTTAAAGAGCAAGTGCTGCAGAGTCTGCCCAAGCCGTGGGCCCCGTTGGCGAGACACTAATAGCGTCCTTGTTCCTAGTAGTAAGGCCAGGAGCCCCTAGTAGCGTCCTTGCTCCTAATAGTTTTTTTCTTTCGTACATCAGAAGCAACGTTGGGTCATGGGATTCCGAGACTCCTGCAGGGCTTATCAAAGCAACGTTGCACGGCCGGCAGAGTGTTGGGCCAAACTTGACGGCTGGGGGTTTTCTGACAAAAGCTAGCTGCATCTAATAATATGGCCTTTCAATGGATGGGGATGCGCGGCATGATGTAAAACAGAATTGTCCTAAAAAGGATGCTATCAGAACTATCATGCTCCCAAATCTGACACGTCCAAATTCACTGGGTAGCCGATTCCATCCCCCAGCCAATAACTTGCTAAAACAAGAGTAACTCCAGCTAGCTGAAGCTAGCTTCCCACGGCTGTGGGGTATGCTGTTGTACCAAGGGTGAAGACCAAGACATGTTGTAAGACACAGCCTCATTCACAACAAAAAACCGTTTTATGTGTTATATATAGTTATATATATAATGTTATATATATATATATACGTACTGATTGCAAAAAGAACGAAACATATGCGTTGTCTTGCCAGGATTGTCAATCAGAAAGTGCGACTGTGCTGCGACTGTGAGCAACTTCTCTTTAAATATATAGAGGGATGGTGCTGATCA